CTTTTTTCTTTTTGCTTATGTGGTGCTGAGGAATCGAACCCAGGGCCTCAGGCATGCAAGGCAAGCGCTCTACCACTGAGCCACCTTCCCAGCCCTCCTTGAGACTCTTATTTCCAATTAACCACCAGAAAACCAGAAATGGCACTGTGACTCAAAGTGGCAGAGTGGTAGCCTTGAGCAAAAGAACTTAGGGATAGCATCCAGGTTCGGAGTTCAAGCCTATGACCCACAGAAAAAAAAGCTCAGGGAAAGTGCACAGACCGTGACCAGGACAGACACACACAGACACAGACACAGACCACAAAGAAACACAAAAAATGTTCACAATTTGAAATCCAAGCCAATGGGGCTGAACTTCCAGGTCTTAGCAAGAGGTATTTGAAGAATGAGTGCTTTGGTTTTTGTGTGTCTCCCTCACTCCACTTAATGGTCTCATCTTCTGTGTGGTGTGTCTGGGGCTCTGACAAACTCAGAAGGGGTAGATGGCGGTGGCGTGAGTCACGGCCTGGCAGCCTAGAGCACAGGGTCTCCATACCTTGCCAGCAAGTGGTTTCTGCAGGTGAGTCTGGTGACTGCTGTCGATCATGGGGGCTCCACTCCATGCAGACCCCACAATCCACCAGCGGCCGGTTTGCTCTGCATTCAAGATCCCGTCCCAGGAGACACGAAGTTGAGTCTCAGAACCTGAGCCAGCACTGCGCACCTGATTAAAGGAAAGGGTCTTGTGAGATGTTCCTAACTTGTTCCAGCATATCTTCCTGCTTGTAATGGCATTTCTGGTGCATGAATATTGGGATGAATTGCTAACAATGGACATGGTGTACTTGGGCCATAACTCAGTGTTTGGAAAGCAGTCATATCAGGGGAAGACCGCTGCCTCAGGCTCAGCACCAGCGGGAATGGGACCATGAGCCAGGGTTCTGAAAAGCCATGACCGTTAGACGGAGAACTTATAAGAGCCATGACAACAGGTTCCTTCTGCCTAGCTGGCATGCTGCAAGAGGGCCACCAGAGGACCCTAAAGACTAGCAGTGGCGCTCTGGGGCAAAGCACATTCTCAACCAATATGAAGGGTCCCAGAGGGAGACCTGTGGCAGGCCTGGCCGGAGTCTCTCTGTAGACACCCAGTGCCTTCCACTCTTTCTCCGGACACTTGGGTGATGCCACACACATGACCTGGAGGTCTGTGTCTCCATCATCATCAAATAGATCCTAGTAGTGGGGAGGCTGAAGACAAACCAGAATGGGAAGAACCTACCAGAGCTCTTTGTAACTTCCTCAGTTTCTCCACAGGCTCAGGGTCATAACCTGGAATTTTGCGCATGTCGTTGTTCTTTAACGCCAGCATCGTCTCCAGCATAAATCGTATCTTTAAGGAAAAGAAAGAAAAAAAGTGATCTTTTTGGATGTCTGCATGACTGTTCCACACAGTACCATTGTATGACGCTGTGGATACTCATGGTCATTCCTACAGATAAGAAGTCAGGCCAGGCGCTGGTGGCTCATGCCTGTAATCTTAGCTACTCAGAAGGCTGAGATCTAAGGACTGTGGTTCAAAGCTAGCCTGGGCAGGAAAGGCCATGAAAACTATTTCCAATAAACCATCAGAAAACCAGAAGTGGTGTTGTAGGTCAAGCAGTAGAGCGTTATCCTTGAGCTGAAGAACTGAGGGACAGTGCCCAGGCCCAGAGTTCAAGCCCCACAACGGGGAAAAAAAATCACTACTTCCCCATATCCAGCAGTGACACTCGGGAACCTATGTCAGAATCCTGGCTGCCAGTCGGGACACAGTAAGGCCACCTGCACTTCAGGTTCCACAGTACCCCACGCTGGCTCCCACAGGGACGGGACAAGCCTCCCGCTTTCTTCCTTCCGCAGAGGGCTTCTCAGGCTGCTCCATAGCTCCCAGCACGGACTCATACTAGGTCACGTCACAGACAGGGGAACTGAGGCTAGCAAGACTACCTCCTCAGTAAATGTACGTGCTGACTGGGCTTTGCTAGTGTCCAAGCAGAGCCACACATCAAGCCAGTGTGGCACTTGATCCCACACCACAGCTGTGCTTACCTCCTCAGTAAATGTACATGCTGATGGGGTTGTTTTTTTTTGTGTGGTGCCAGTACTTGAACTTAGGGCCTTGGCACCTTAGCTTTTTCAGTCAAAGCTAGCACTCTTATCATAACCACACTTCTGAGCTATTCCTGGTTAACTGGAAGTAAGAGTCCAGGCTGGCTTTGAACTATGACTCTCAGATCTCAAGTCTCCTTAATAGTAGGATTTGATTACAGGTATCACTGCTGCTTGGTTTGTGGAGCTGATTTTTAAATTCTGAGAACACTGATCTGCCCTTGTCAGTCATGGGGCTTAAACTCTGGGCCTGGGCACTCTCCCTCAGCAATTCAGCTCGAGGCGAATGGTCTACCACTTGAGTTACAGCACCACTTCCAGTTTTCTGGTGGTGGTTTATTGGAGATAAGAGTCTCACAGATTTTCCTGCCCGGGCTGGCTTTGAACCATGATACTCAGATCTCAGCCTCCTGAGTAGCTAGGATTACAGGCCTGAGCCACCGGTACCTGGCTGATCTGTATTTTTAATAAAGAAGCAAAATTGGTTTGTAGATTAGCTACAAAGTCACTGTACGACAGGGATAAAGGAAGCAGAAATCATAGGAAATGAAGTATAATATTTACCCCAAATACTTTTAGGGTGCTTTGCTTTGGGGGCACTTAGAAGCAGCTCAGTGGCACTCGTACCCTGGTCTGGTCCTGAAATCTGCCGCCCGCCCCGCTGGCCTTGGCCTGGGCTTCTGTGATCAGCTCCTTCAATGCCAACGGGTCATCTTTCCTCAGGGCAGAGCCCACGTTTTTCAGCATTAATAGGATTAGTTCAATGTCTTTTTCTGTGAAAGTTCCAATAAGTTTCTTCAAAATATCAAAGACAAGAAGAGACTGCACCACGTGGAAATTGTACAAATGGGCAACGATGGTGAAGAGGTTGTCACACTCTTTGTCTTCACCTCCATTTTTATAGACATCATCAAACTTCCTCACCACAGCCTCCAGAAAGCCCGCGCCAACCTGAATGGGACAAGAGGACCCATGTCACCATGGTGGTCTTCAAACAGCACTGTTACGTTTTATGCAACACACAACAAGCACACAGGGCACAGCCTTACTAACACACACGCCTGCTTAGTTCATGGCACACGAACGAACACTGCACACTTAGTAAGGGACAGCACTTCATCTGCTGCAGTACACAAGTATGTTCTGTAAAGATGTACTTTTCTCTTCAATATCAACATTTTTTTTGAGGGTCATTTCTGGTTCCTTGGAAAAATAAACTTGATTTTAAAAAGTCTTTTTCTGGCCAGGTGCTGGTGGCTCATGCCTGTAATCCTAGCTCCTCAGGAGGTAGTGATCAGAGCACTGCGGCTCAAAGCCAACCTGGTCAAAAAAGTCCCTAGGACTCTACCCCCCAATTAGCAATCAAAAAGCTAGAAGTAGAGCTGAGGCCCAAGTGTTAGAGCACTAGCCTTGAGAAAAAAAAGCTTAAGTACAAGGCCCTAAGTTCAAGCACCAGGACCAGCACTCAGAGGCACACACAAGTCTATTTCTAAAAATGTACCACCACTGCTTGGCAATACTCATTTCTCAGAAGACCTCTTCCAAGTTAATTCCTGATCAGGAAGGAACGCAAGTGGGAAAGTGAAGGGCACGAGCAGGCAGGTCCAGCAGCTCCGCAAGGACAGGGAGTGGTGAACACACGCTGCCCCAGCCCACTCCCAGAGACCCTGGCTGAGACGCACGCGCTGTTCCTCAGGAGCCCCACAGCCACCGGCTGCCAGGCTCAAAGACAGAATCAAGTCAGGAACTAGCAGCTGCCCCATGAAGCTTGGTGACGTTACTATGGCACCTTCCCACTGCTGTTCCGGAACATTCTACTCCCAATTCAGTAATTTGGTACTGAAGGAGGAAGGAAGGCCTGGATTTGAATTTATCTGGTTTAAACCGGGACAATGAAATGCAAAGGCAGGAATGGCAGAGAGTATTCTGAGAGAATCACACGGCAAGCCATTGTTCTCAACTCCTAGCCAATCTGAGAATGAGGGAGAAGACAGAGACAGGCATGGTGGTAAGGAGCAGAGGAGGGAGCAGTCCAGCTGGAGGCCGTCATGCTGGACTGGGGACTAAGGTCTGGGCACACAGACCCCGCTGACAGGGCAGGGCAAACCACTGGCTGGCTAGGAATCCCCAGGGTTTTGCCCTGGGTAATGAATGTGCAAGAAGCAGGTTAGGGGGCTGGATAAATCCCTTCAAGGGCCTTCTAAGCATCACTGCAGGACATCAGGCAGGACAGGCTGATGTTTGAGAAGTGCCAGTAATCTCAGGGGAGGATGAGACATCGCTCAGAGCACAACAGGAACATATACACACAGCCCTGTGAGAATCTAGAGAGGACAACAGATTATCAGGAGGGAGGCAATGGTAATTGCTAGAAGTTGAAACTGAAGACTGAGACTTCATGTAACCTGAAAACTCACACTCAAGACCCTTTACTAAAGATAAACCTGAAGAATATTCTGTACTTGACTAACTACCATCTTAAATCCATGCACGAGTTAAGGAATCAGAATTCCACAGATAGGCAGAAAAATCCAGGCTCCAAATACATTCAGGTATGTGTCCAACATTACAAGTAGATTTAGTTACATAAAAATTTGTCAAAATTTAAATTCTATTGTCTTTAAAACTAAATATAGTTTTATAACAGTTAACACGAATATAATTCATGATGCAAAAATTATGACTCATATTGCAAAACTATCCATTGACCCTGATGCGTGCATATTAGCACAAGTCTACACAGGACTGATTTTAGATGAGTGCTGGAGCAATGCAGTAGCGGGAATCATGTTCTAGTCTCTTCTTCTTTCCATGAATCCCTGTGAGGAAGTTTAATGGAGCAGGAGTTTAGTGGATGTCATTAGCTAAATGACTTCCCCTTGAACAAGTCATCTCATTGTCCTTTATGCTATTAGCAAAGGTTTAAATGACAAGTAGGACTAATGATATCATGTTTGCAATCAACTCAATCCCTGATGTGCCGTAGACGGTCAGGTCTATGACTTTCACTATAGCTCACTGAAATCCTATCTGTACAAAAACCATACATTATGAAGTCTGATGAAGTGCACCAGCATGCCCTAGGAGGACGGGGATGTACTAAGCAGGCCACAGAACAACATGAATTACGGCAATCGCAGGGCACAAAGAAACATGTCCATGGCTTCCATTATGCTTTGTAATGGGAAGAAAATGGACTCACTCATGTGTGAAGTGAGTATAGCTCTTGGAACAAAAAGTTACTTCCAAAGACTATTCCCAACGCAGCTGGTACAAATGCTGCACAGCAGAGATCATGAGGGGCTGAGGGCTGTGCTGACATCTTCCTCTATCTGCACCCTCCCGGGCCCAACAGGTCTGAAGGCTTTCTCTTCCAATGAGACTACTGCTGTATAACAAAGTTTAGGAGATGGTCTAGGAATAGCAAAGACTCCTGTAGCTGCAGCCAGCCAGGAAAAGGGGGAGAACACAAGGTCGACAGGGACATCTCCTCCACCATTACCATGGTGAATCACTAGCCTTTAGTGAGTCCTCTGGGCCACTTGCACCCATCACCTGGAGGAGGAGAACTCCACCACTCTGACACAGACAGTGGTTGGGGGAGGAGGGACGGACAATACCTCGATCCCAACCGTGTGGTGAAGGATGCTAACGAGGAGGACATGCTCCATCATCAGTCTGCTGGGCATGGCCGTGGCAGTGACGCAGGCGCCCATGAGGGCTGCGGTTAGGGTGTCGTTCATGTCCTTCCTGCTGTGGGTCATGTACAGCTCCTCCAGCTGCCCACTGATGGAAGCCATGTTCGGCTCACTCAGCCTGCAAAGAAAGCAATGGTGTTCTAAATGTAGGATTTTTTCAGGTCAATGAAAAACTAAGGAGTTACCAATACTACCCAGCCATCCTACTCCATCCACTCTTACTCCACTCTGAGCCTGCTGCAGTAATCCAGTGTGCGCTTCTTATAATCATATAGTTCAGAATCTCAGGTGTAGCTCTCCCTTTGTCTCCTGTGGCAACCAAAGCACTCCATGTTCTCCGGGGTGGAGGATGTGCCTACAGGACCAAGCACCCGGGACCACGCTAGAAAAAACACTACTTTTTGGGGCTAGAGGCATGGCTCAGGTGGTAGAGCTCCAGGCTTTCAGTAAAAGTGTCAGACCCTGAATTCAAGTCCTGATCCTGAGGGGAAGAGGAGAGAAATACTACCGTGCCCATCTCTGCACTGAGAACAGGCTGCTCCATCTGAGCAGGTGAGGAAGGAAGGCCATGTGTATCCAGACTACCCACCTTGCACCTAGGCTACCACTGAACATCAAAACAGCAGGGTAAAATTCCAGCAGATGCTGTAGAAAGTGTTTGAGCTTTACTTAGAAACAGAAGCAATGTAGGAAAGAGGGAGTGTGACAAAGGGTGGAACAAGAGCCTTGTGAAGGAATGAATGCTTCTGTATCCTGTGATGGATGGAATGAATGCTTCTGTATCCTGTGATGGAATGGATGCTTCTGTATCCTGTGAAGGAATGAATGCGTCTGTATCCTGTGATGGAATTGGTTCTGTATCCTGTGATGGAATGCTTCTGTATCGTGTGATGGAATGTTTCTGTATCCTGTGATGGAATGCTTCTGGATCCTGTGATGGAATGCTTCTGGATCCTGTGATGGAATGAATGCTTCTGTATCCTGTGATGGAATGCTTCTGTATCGTGTGATGGAATGTTTCTGTATCCTGTGATGGAATGCTTCTGTATCCTGTGAAGGAATGTTTCTGTATCCTGTGATGGAATTGGTTCTGTATCCTGTGATGGAATGCTTCTGCATCCTGTGGTGAAATGGTTCCATAGCTTGTGGAGAAGCCACAGAATCACACACAGGCGTTTGGGAAATGGAGGAAGGTATGTAGGAACTCCCGTACTGCCTTTGCAGGTCTCTGTGAATCTGTAGTAATTCCCAAATGAACGTTTAACAAAGTAAAACACACTGGAAACTACAGGTAAGGACAGTGGCCACCTCCAGAAGAGGGCTGGAAAGGGCCTCTGGGTAAGGAGAATGGGACAAGTGGAGAAAAGTATTAGCAGACAAAAGTTTCAGTCAGTCTTCAAAGCTAGAGAGCCACGGAGGGGGTGTGAGTGACAAATGAAGTCCCGTCTGTGTGGTTTCCAACAGGCATTATTTGATTTGTATTTACTCAGGGTCTCATGCCTGCTAGACAAATAAGCAAAGGCCCTACCACTTGAGCCAGGCCTGCAGTCCTGAGGTAGGAAATGCAGAAGTGAGCAGTGACCCAGAAGAGAGAGGCTGTCCAACTGAGTGGGCCTGCTCCTCCCTCACAAGGCTTTCTCCGCTCTTCCGGAGAGAGCAGTCTCCGTCCCATTCCTTCCCAGTGTGGGCCAGGTGTTGCGTGCAAACAGCCAGTACCAAACGGCTGGGCCTCCTCTGTCATAACACTATGGGTCTGGATGCATCTCTACAGGCAAAGACCTCTCTGTCATAACACTACGGGTCTGGATGCATCTCTACAGGCAAAGACCTCTCTGTCATAATACCATGGGTCTGGATGCATCTCTACAGGCAAAGACCTCTCTGTCATAACACTACGGGTCTGGATGCATCTCTACAGGCAAAGCCCCTGCCACAGGTGTTACAACCCCAGGACAGTCCTGTATAGGGACACATGCATGGCCTTGGGGCATGGGATGCGGCCATCAGGAAAGTTACCTGTTAATGAGGCCTTTAACCTGCTTCTTCAGCCTTTCTAGTTCTTCCTTCTTGCGGACATCCCCTGTGCCCTCCTCCTCCAGCCTCACCTGAGGCGGGATGTACTGTCTACCAGGCTCACAAGGGCTCTCCTGGAAAAGAGGAATACATGGAGAGAAGAAAAAAAAGCTTACCTCATATGTTCGCACATTTACTTTTAAATTCCCAGACACTCGGCGCAACTGCTGCCGCCTGCCACGGCTGTACGCGGGACAGGAGCTCTGGCTGCGGCGTCTAGAACCTTCCGGGTGGCCTGGGCGGCCTGGCCTCCCTCGATGGGCCGCGTCAAGCCGTCGAGGCCCCGCGCCCAAGGGAAGGCCCGCGGGGCTAGGAGGTGGGCCCGCTGCGCCCGCTGTACCTGACTCGGCGCGTCGTCCTCGTCCTCTTCCGAGGAACTCTGGCTCGTGTCTTCGTCTTCAGAGGAACTCTGGCTCTCCTCTTCGTCTGCAAAACGGACTCTCTTCGGTGCGCTCTCCCCCCGCGCCTCGGCTTCGGCTTCCTCCAGGCTCCCCGCGTCGGCGTCTTCCTCCTCCTCCTCCTCCTCCTCCTCGCTCCCCGGGTCGCTCCCGGGGCGGGTGTGTCGTCCCGCCGCCGCGGCCTCCTCCTCCCCGCCGCTGTCACCGTCGCCCAGGCCGCCCAGGCCGCCCCGGGGCTCCAGGGCCCCCAGGATGTAGCCCAGCCCGTCCCGCGCGAAGCTGAGCGGCACCGAGCCGCCGTCGCCCTTCTTCCTGCGCTTGTGCCAGCCCAGGCGGCGCTCCAGCTTCCGGATCTCCCGGTCCTCCTCCTCGTTGGCCAACAGCAGCGCCCGCTGCCGGGCGGCGGCGGCCTTCGCGGCGCGGG